AGCGACAACTTAGAGACATCTACTACCACTGCTCTCCTCTGACCGGCGAATGTTGAGCTTAATTCGATCAGTATTATTAATTAGAATAAATTCGTCATTTGCATCTTCGCGCGTGGCTTGCCTCGGCTCGCTCGACGCGCAATCGATCTTGCTCAACGAGCCCCGTCTGTATCAAAACAAATTAAATATGTATGGCGATTCGCGGCTCAGACCTATTTTCGAAACGCTCTTAGCCGCTCGCCAGGACACGCCGAGGACGACTCCGCGTGACTCCTTTGTCAACTTCGCCTGACTTTTATAACGTTAATTGAAGTTCCCGTCGAGCAAATTGGATCCACGACGGATCCATTAAGGTTTTTTTTATTTTTCAAAAAATTTCGACTCGATGCTTACTATTAAATAAAACGAAATATCGCGTCGAACGAGAGAGAGAGAGAGAGAGAGAGAGCTTCTTTTAACAAAAATTTCTTAACGAGGAATCAATCGTGAATTCATTAAAGAATCCGTCGTTCATTATGATCGCGGTTCTGGGACATCCCGCGTGCACGTGTAAACTTTTTCGCGCCGCCGGCTCTCTGCTTTTCGTCGAGAGCGCTAGGTCGTTAATGATTACCGGCCAGTTTTACGCTAGCCCATACGCGCCGACATACGCATCTCTCTTTCTCTCTCATTCTCATTGCGGCATGATGGTGTGGCGTGCAAGGTGCAAACCGTAAAAAGCCAACGACGCCGGCCGACGAACGACGGCAAAGTCGCGCGAGAGTTTAATTACCGGTACGCCTCTCTCTTTCTCCCTTTCCTCCTCCCTCTCTTTCTCTCTCTCTCTTGGTTCCCGGAGAGGACCTCGGGACCGACTGACTAACGACTCGACGATCTCCACCGCGGAGATCCCTCGGCGGATAACGATAATTTCAGGAGCGTATTTTCAGACTCGTCGTTCGGCTCCTCTCTTCGATCGTCGTTGTCGTCTTCGGCGTCGTCCCCGCGAACGAGTCGGGAGCGAGAAGGAGAGGCCGGAGAGGCTTAAATAATAACGTCTCGCAGGAACGAGTTGGCTCCCGCGGTATCTAGATATATCTAGATGCCTGCGCCTCGGAAAATGAGACGAGGGAGTATCGAGCGTTTACGCGGCTGTAATGGGACGCGCGGATCAGGTAGAGAGGCGCAACGCGCGTCATGGAATGAAATGCGAGCGCCGGGAAAACGACGCGACTGAATAAGAGAAAGAGAGAGAGAGAGGCCGGGGTAATCGGATTATGCGCCCGTTCAAACGAACTTGCTTTAATGTCGACTGAATAGCGTGGCATCGCGATGCGTTACGGTTGACTGAGAGATCGCGGAACGCATCGGGCCGTTTGACGGACTCTCGGCGGAACTGTGACAGACGTATGAAAGAGCCACGGCGGAGTTACGACGCGAAGTGTTATTACGTATCGCGATTTCCAAGATTTTAATATCGTACAAGTTGAACTGCCTGTAGATCAGTTTCGTGAAAATGTATCCTCGGTGTCCAGAGATCAAAGGACCAGGCTTCACTGGAAGAAAAATATAGTTATTTTTGGGGACAATATCTTTCTTTTTATTTTAACCGCAAAAATAGTAGTAGCAACGTAAGGTTATTATTACTGACACTATAATAACTTATTCGAAAAATAGTTTTCTTGATCATCTTGGTAGTTAAGGTAGGAAAAAGGATATCGTTGTCCCCAAAAATGACTAGATTTTTCTCTCAGTGTTTGAAATCGAAGGGGAAATACAATTTTAGATAACAGAACTTGCGGTAATCACACCTTCGTAAAACGCTCTGTTAACCTATTAGGGAATATCAAGCAGAATTATTCCAAATTGTACAAGATCGTTCAAAGTTCACTGAGATGATCGCCAACAATTGTTAACGAAGGAGACACCTGAGAAAACAAGAAAGATCCCGTTAACGACCAATATTCCATTTATAAAGCGTTTTCTTATAGAATACAATCGCTTGATGTAATTTTTTCTCTCTATTTTTATGTTTTCATCTCGACTACCAGTTATAACCGTGTCTTCAATGAAAAACAGTTCTAATAATAATCTGAAATTTCAAGGAAATAAACAGACTAACCTTTTAATTAAAGACGCTTGTGAAATAATTATAAGCCTTTAATGAGTTAAAAAGTTTCGTTGTTAAAAGCTTTTGTAGAGTATACTTAGTCACGAAAAGCTTGCAACACTTTTCTCTGATAAATTTCGGAATATATCCCGTGTCCGATAGAGGAATTTGTTTTTAATTAATTCTCAGGAGATCACATTTTCCTACCGGACGCGAGATGCGTTGCGAAACTCGATCGAAGTATTGCAACCTTTTTTATGACTGACCGCACATACATACACTCCGCAAGTAGAATATCAAGTGATTTATCCCCGGGAATAATTCAACTGTCACGAACGTGACAGTATCCTAAAGCAATCGATCGATCAATCGATCATCCAAATTAACCAAACCATATCGCATTCGCGATCGAATTAGAAGCACGTCGAGAGGTGAAAATAATTCATCGCGAACATCGCATGTTAAGAGGCGCACGCTTATTCGTTTGTCCCATCTGCATGTCGCACCAACATACCGAGAGGTACGTTCGAAATCGACGTCTTATTAAATAATGTCGGACACTCGGACGGCGTCAACAAGCGGAGTAGGAGAGCACGGGGCGTTATTATCAGCGAATTATCCCGACGGCGGAGTGTGATTCAGCGAATTCTAGCCGTCCCCTTATAGAGGCGCCGGCGATCGATTACACGCCAATCGGATCGCGCTAACTAGCTCGTAAGAGTCGAGGACGACGACGCTCTATACCTGCCTATAAGCGCCAAGTCCCGCCTCGTCGCCGTCGGGCCGCGGTCGCGGCAAAAACCGTGCGCCTCCGGATGACATCTTTTCGTGGAAGTTATCTAATGGACGAGGCTCAAGTGACTCTTCGATCCCACGTCGCTCGCAATTTCGCTTTATAAGGCGAAAGGCGTGTCATCTTTAGGTCACGATCGCCTCTCGGAAAAGATGTTCCGCGATCTCTTAAATCTCAGGTCAAAGCGCCGATCGACCTTAACAAAAGGACGGATGTATTCCGAGGAAAAGATTATTACCTGCAAGACGCTCGCACTGTATATGTGCACTATATATAATCGATGGAAGAAAGATCGCAACACTTTTACCTTGATAAACTTGAAAGCGCACCCTCGGAAGATTAGTTTTCCAATAAGAACATTTTTATCTTCCGAGAGGAAAGAATTAAAAAATTGATTTGAGGATATAATTTATTTATTTTACAGAAATAAGATTTGTTTCACAAAAATAAGTTTTATTTCTGTGAAATAAATTTTATATCCCACAGATAAATTTTTGAATACTTTTTTCTCAGTGTGAAATTGACTGAAAAACACAAATTCTTCTATTGGATACGTTGCAAAATTCACTGAGGAAAAAGCGTCACAATCTTTCTGCTATTAACTACATACATACAGATACATAGAAAAAGTGTTAAATTCAAGTAAATAATTACTCCAATACTTCTCGGCAAACTTTCATTTGGATCAAATAATATTTACATAATCCCGGTAAAATATTTTCCAAGCAAATTATTCGAGTAAAAGATTTACTCAATCCAATGAAAAATTTGCTAAGGAATATTGGAATAATTATTTATTTAAATTTAACACTTTTCTACACACACAGATCAGCATCACAGTTTTAACACATAAAGTTTCTGTTCTTCCGCATAATCATCAATTAGAATTCAAACGTTCATCGACTAACGCCGGTTACCGTCGTTTCCTCGTCGAGAAGCGTCGCGAGGATCAGTATTTGACTCACGATTGTGAAAAGACGAAGGAAGTTTCATCACCGCCTCATCTCAAGATCGCTCTTTACGGGCGATCGTCGGCGCTTCAATCGTTCTCCCTCTCCCGACAAGAGAACCGAATGACGGGGAATTTCACAGAAACAAAACGAGTCGTGTCTCTCTTTCTCTTGAAAAGCCCGAATAAAAAGCACTGCCGAGCGCGCGCAATCACGCTACACTTTATATGCGTCGCGTCGCATGCACGCGACACAAAAAAAGAGACGTGTTAGCGTCTTCGTCAGGGAAAAGGCCGGCGCTGCGGATCGCGGAGGAGGGATACGCGCGCGCGGAGGTAAAACGGCGAGAGAAAGACCGGCGTGAGTAGCGTTCTCGTAAAACTTTAAATCAGCTCTAGTTGGCCTGTCAGTTGCGACGCGCGCGGATGCACACGCGCGCACCATCTTGCGACGCACAAATTGCCGCGCGTTTAATTACCGTCCAATATCCAGCGAGGGGTCATTAATCACCCTTCCGATAACCCGTAATTTTCCGCAAACGATAAAATCTGTCGCGCGCCCATCGACTTCTTCGCGTCGCTCAACGACCGTATCGAGACGAGACGAAGAGAGAGGGGGGAAGAAAGACGCGAAGGAGCCGCGGCGGGGAAGAAAAGAAGCAGAGCGAGGAAAGTGGCGGCGTGCTTCTGCAACCCGTTCCGCGGAAAAGTGTGCGTGGCGAACGAGTCCTGGCCTGGCGTGCAGCTCGTGGGCTTGATATACGTTGTCAGTCTCCTAGACGAGTCGGCCGGCGCAGATAGGCCTAATGGTTAACGAGCGCTCGTTCGCCGAGACAGATCGTCGACCTTCGATCGCCGCGCACGCCGCTGCCGTCGATATCCCCGCGATACCCCCCGTTCTTTTTGCGGACCTCGCGAGAAGATACGCTCCACTACCTCGTAGCCTATATAGATACCAGCTTCCCTTCGGTAGCCCGTCTGGTTTTTTGGTAGCAGTTTGCCGGAGTCCTACCGCCACCGCGCGCGGCGAGCCTGTCTGCCCTAAGGCCGCTCTTCCCTTCCGAGGCGCAGGAACGCCGATGGTAGCGATGGACGCGAGTCGCTTCTCTGCACGTTGCTCGACGGGCGAATTATTTCACTTGACAGCGCGCATAGTGACGCATCGGGAGCCGGAAGAGCTTCGCTCGCGCGTTCATTTCTCAAGATATTTTCGAGCGCGAGAATCGTTTAAGCGACAGACGAGATCCTAAGGTGAGACTTTAAGATGCACGCGGAAATTCTGTTCTTTGTTATCACATAATCGGTCAAGTGTAGTTAACGTATGTGTTTGTCAGAAATACGACGAAAAGTCCCGAAGGATATTCCAACGGAAGACTTTTCTTCCTCCTTTTTAACACCGCGTGGAAAATCCGAACGCGCGTTGACCATACCCATTGCTGCGGTGGCGCAGCGGCCAGTATATGGGCAGATCGTGCGGGAGAGAAAGATCAAGCGTTCCACCCACGCCCACGTCTCAACCTGTTCTGTTTCTCCCGCGGTTACAGGTGCCTCCCTGAGGGCATTCCTGCTGGAATTCTTCACCGATGATCCTCACACTGCTCTCTCTCTCTTTTTCTCTCCCGCAAATTCATATCCTCGAATCATCGCGCGCGCGCACGCGTCTTTCGATCGTGCAACTTCGGAACGATAACTCGCGTGCGTGTCACCAACCGCAATTCGTCTCTCCTAAAGAGAAACGATTCGCATAAACCAGAGCCTTCTTTGACGCTTCAGACTTCTCGAGTTTTCGACGATCCTGCAGTCGAGTCGTTAGAATCTCGGGTTTCAGAATCTTATATTCGAGTTGCCCCTCGGGATCCTCCATTACTATTGCCGGCGCAATTACCGGATTATTGCCATGCGACTGAGGCGGTAGCGGGACCTCTTACACCTGATGCTTCACTTGAATAACTCGCGCTAAAAGTATAAAAGACGAGCAAGGAGATAAAGGCGGTAACGATCGGACCGCCGGAGTCTTATCGAATTGAGCGCGCGGCATCTCGGCGGGAATATCGCGGCAGGATCGGTGGGAACGGGGCAGAGGAAACGAAAAAGTCCGGAGGTAGCGAATGAGTACGCCCACACCGTCCTCTTCGGGGACCTGTTCTCGGCATTTACGTTCTGACATCTTTTCACTCCGTTTACGAGTCCCCTTTACGTTTTACGACCGATCATCGAGGCCCTTTCTCTCCGCGATTGGCGGCGGCCGAGGGTAGGGCGAACGGCGCCGCGGAGAATAAAAGGATAGCCACTGTGGCGAGGAAGAAAGGGCACGCCGAGAGGACCGCCAAATAAGAGCGAGCTCGACATCCGCCGCGCGGCTCTTCTTTCCGATCGAAACGATGTTTCGCCGGACGAACGGCTCTCTCTCTCTATGTTTTTTATTATCTTTATTTTCGTTTATCGCTGGATCTCTGCGAACAAACTCATCTTGCAACATTCGAATCAGATTTCAAAAAATTTATGTAAATAATAGCTTTCGCTGCAACGCTTTTGAAGGACTACGTCCTAGAGCGACGATGAAAGCGTTTATTTATCTATCTAATTCTTCCTCCGACGACGCGATTTCGCAATCGAGCGAGCGAGTGCAAGTGTATCCGCGCTGTATAAATAGGACATCGTAAACACAATTTTTATTAAGGAGACATCCAGCCAAACACTCGAAGAATAAGCGCTCGTAACAGACGTAAACGCTTCTTTTTTCGTTTCGATTTGCGCGTGTCGTCCGCAAAAGTGTCATATCGCCGATAAAAAGAATCAATGGCCGATGCGTTAATATTCATCCCGCTCCTCAAGTGAACAGGCGCAAGCAGACTTTCGAGCGCATAAAGCAGTTTTTTGCGCGAAGGCGCGACAGCGACGACGACGAGTCCTTATTCTAGAATCCCGAGAATGCCCCGTGGTGCAAAGTTGAAGGACGCACGTGGACTGGAATCAATCGCAGATTCAGTCGCACTAAGCAAGTCACGTGGGCTCCGTGAATCGTTTAAACGTCGCGGAGTCGCTGCTGCTGCTGGAAATTCGCGTGTCAGACTTATCACCGAGTTTTTATCATTGAGCTATTTATGTTTTGCGTTAATCTCCCGTTTTCCTGTTTAAGGTATCGTAACGTAAAATCCGTATTTCTCAGTGCTGAATTGGTACCTCGCCAGTATATATGTTTTCTACGTAGATAGTAGTAGTAATAGCGGGGCCGCACCGAAGATCGGTCTCGAAACGGCGAATGCCCGTCGCGAACGCGTCGGTATGCGCTCCCCGTAGCCGCTGGAAAACCGTTGGACGACGGCTCGTCTTCGGCCGTCTGCGACGTCCCACGTTTTTCTAGGAAGCCGAGTAGAATCTCTATTCTACGACCGTGACGAGCTATTGAGACCGAGGGCGGACCCGCAACCGAGATTACACGCGCGCGTGGCGCCGAGACACCATCGTCATCGTCGTATCGAGAGACGCAGAATGCGCCGATTTGGTGAGGAAACCGTGCCTCGACTCGCACGTTCGTGCACGCGAAAGAGGAAGGTCCTGACTACGACTTTAAACTCCCTCGTTTATTTAACGTGCACACCTTTGGGAAATTTTAATCGGCTAATTATCCCGGTTATTTTAAAGGAATGAATCGTAGTGGCTAGCGCGAAGAAGCAGACATTCAATGCCACGATGACCTGAATTATGGTAATGCAATAATATAAATATGGATATGTATGTATGGATGCAGGAGAGAAAATTGTATATAATTAATAATAAAGAATAATTTATATACTCTACTAATTCTACTTCGTATATATATGTAGTATGTTATTAAACTGTTAGATAAATTTATGAGCGAATTTGCATTTACCGACGATCTTTTACCATTTGAGGAGACAATTAAGAAACAATCCCCTGAAGATTTTCAAGGTATTGTTGTGTTATAAGCGTGTCAGAATTCGCACTGGAGGCTTTTGCTAACGAGGATCCCGCCGAATCCTGAACATTGAGCAGTGTGTAATTAATTGTGCCCGATGTGTGCGAGATTACAGGAGGACCGTCTCGTCGTGGATAATTAATTGCGGCTCGCTCGATCCTTAGGATTTCGCCGGTTCGTGAGAGAGCCGTGGATAAGGACGACCGATGAATGGAGCCTCCCGAGATAAGTTCCAAACGTTGCTCGACACGGTGGACACGCAACGGAAATTCGCCCACGCCGAAAAAGGAGGCCCGAGTTTAAACGCCAGTCATCGCGACTGTACGCCCGTTGATTCATGCGCTCGTGCTCGCGCTCGTGCGATTTAAATTTCAAATATTCAGCGGGATACACCTCTCGAGTTACACCGCGCGCGGTCTTATGACAAAGTGCCGTTGTCACGTCGGACAAGACGGGCGGTGTGGGGGGTCCGGCGGCGAATTAAAATAAATAATAAGAGATCCCGCGCGCGACCGCTCGCTCGTTCTCGCCCACCGTTTCGTGGGAACTGGCACGGCTGAAAATTCGACTTTCGTTTCGACGACGACGACGACGATGACGTCGTTTATCAGCGCGTCATTATTCACCTGTCACTCCGTTATCGCGAATCCCGACAACTCGTGGACGGCTTCGCGGCGTTCACGATTGATCTTGGCTCTCCGAAAAGCTCTCTCGTCGGCGCTTTGGACACCCGAATTAATTCATCGGCCTTCTCAGCCGCCGTCTCTGATAAATTTCCCCGCGACTGACGATCGCGTCGTCGTCATTAAGCCCGGACGTCGCCTATATTTACAAAGTGGGCGAGGTTCCTTTCATCTGGGATATCGAAAGAAAGTTCCGTTAGTCGCAGAACGGCCGAAACACGACCATGCCGTCCTCGCCGATAATCAGCTCGCCATCGAGCGAGCGCGATCTTGTCGAGAGAGGGAAGAGACTCTCTCTCTCTCTCGGCTCTTAATGGCGGCTGCGGTGCTAATGACAAATGGACGGCCGATACTGTCGTGGCGTAAAAACGCGACGAATATTCTAATCGCGTCTCGTTACGACAACTCGCTGCTTTTTCATCGTTTCCCTCGACCTCCAGGAGACCCCCGTTACTCCAAGATCGCCGCTCGTTCCGAGAGACGAGTCTCGGTCCGCGGTATACACCTGCCGGCTAGCTGGTTGCGCGCGCCGCCAATACCTGTTTTCCCTCTCTCTCTCTCTCATCGGGGCCGGTAAGACGGCGAGATTTTTACGCGAACGATCGCCCGGACTGACGTTTAATCGCTTTCAACGCGATTCGAACGTTCCGACAGTGTAGCCGCGCTCCGTAATAAATCTTCGCTGGTTCTTCTTTTTTCCTTTTTTCTTTCTTTTTAACTTTGACGTTGCTCGTTAACCTGTTCGCTTTTGTCGTGCACCATAATCCTTGATAACCTGGGCACATAAATATCGCACAATACCGCTGTTTCGCGATATTCTGTTTCTCTTGCAAGATGTGTATGTTAACTTTCTACGTTGCATTCTCTTTTGAAAATTATTTTCTTATATCTTAGAATACACACGTGCCCAGTTCTATTTTAGTACCGCCACTGTTTTGCACAGTTTTATCTTTATCTTTCCTTCTCAATCTCTCGCAATCATACTGAACTCACGATAGCGTTGATAAGTGTTTTTACTACAGAATTACGTTTTATTTGTTCTTGCTGTAGATGATAATAATTTGCATCGATGATTATATATTAAACTTGATATTATATTAAAAGCTGACTTTGAATGCGAATTCCACTCGGTCGCGATACTATCGCGAAGCCAAGCTGCGACTGCGGCTAATGTCATTGTAAATAACGTCGTGTATCATTACGAAAACGCCGTCTATTAACACCTCACCTCGCCCACGTCAATTACTGTCATTAGCAGTCCGGCGTTGTTAACAACAACGTTATGTCAGCGAAATATCATCTAAATCGACGGCTCTCTTTCTCTCTCTCTCTCTTCCGCCGGCAGCCTGTAATCGGGCGTGATTTTTCGCGGAAAATTAACGATCGTTCGAAATGTCATGTATCTCGCGAAATTCGGAGATACTCAAGTTGAATAGTGAGTTTTCCATTTATTTATATAGCGCGGAGTTTCATAGGAAACGAATGCGCGATGTATCTTAGTAGAAATTGAATCTAGCGACGAAATAATAAATTTGCGTCTAACGTCGCTACTGACCAATAATATACGTTTACTTCTCCTAGTAGTTAAACAATACCTAGATGAATAATTGAACCCATGGCTAAACGAAAGAAGCTATAATTACGAAATAGAAAAATCGTAAGTACTTGTCAACCAGTAATGCAACGCTGCTTTTTGCAAATTTTTATGGAATAACGCACATCGTCAACTTTAATCTGCTACCTCATTTTTAAATACTAGTAGCGGGATTACATATTTCAGAATAGACAGCATCATCATACGGCTAGTCAACAGCCAGATCACAAAAGCGACTTTACATTTTAACGAATAATCGGACGATAACGAATTAGTAAAGAGTAACTAAAACGTTTAATCCAGGCTGTACTAGTAATCAATGAACTTACTAGTAAGTAACGTTAATAATTCATTATTGTCCGATTAAAACGTTTCCGATCGATGTATTTCTACCGGAGTATACTGAAACTCATCGGCGCGTGCAGCCGAATAACCGCAGTGTCGTCGTTGCTCTGTTTCAGGACGAAGTGGGAGGTAGCACGGTGGTAGTCGAGGGTGTCGTAGGTGGCATAAGGGGCCCAGGCGGCGGGTGCCGCGCATCCTCGATGACGATGGCCGAGAGCGCCGTGGAGGACGCCGCAGCCGCGCCCCCGGGTCCGGCCAAGCCGCCACCGCCGTCCTGTACGAACAACAACACCCTCGCGGCGACGGCCAACCGCAACCACCGGAACCCGCGCAAGAAGCGGAGGCGGCTCGAGCAGGTGGTGGACACGCTGCAGGCCCACCGGAGCTCACCGTCCGAAGGCGAGGTGCTCAAGTTCGAAGGCAGCGCACCCGCGTCCGAGGAGGAGGACGTCTTCGGCTCGCCCAGGTCGTCGTCCTCGCGGTCGGCCGCGGATACCACTTCCATGATGATCGGCCAGTTGTCCCTGAGGCTGAAGGACGCGGAGTCGGTCACGTCGACGGAGGAGGATCCGGTGAACGAGAGCGGCTCGCAACACCACCACCACCACCGATCGTACCGTTACTCGTACCACCATCACCACCACCGACACCCGCGTTACTCGCCCTACCAAAACAACCACCGGTTGTCGGCGCCGAAGTATCCCGACTGCGTGTGCGCCCAGTGCTCGTCGCAGTCCCTCACGTCGATGATGCTGCCGTCGGCCACGTCGCTGCAGACGCCGATGTCGCGACCCGGTTTCTCGTCCTACGGCATATGCGGCGCCTACAGCAGCATATTCGAGCAGTACATGAACAGCAAGTACCTGTCGTCGGGCGACACCTTCCGCGGCCGCAGTCACTCCGACTCGGACCTCGTGCCCAGGTGGGGGGACGAGAGGGTGCCCGCCTCGTCCACCTCGTCCGTCGTCGGACGCAGCGGCTCCCTCGAGAGCGACGGCACCAGCCCGCAGGAGTCGCCGTTGGACCTCTCCATGAAGAACCTGATGCAGTCGGCGGCCGCGGCCTCCGCTAGGTCGCCGGCGCTCCAGCTCTTGCCGCCCGGCATCGTGACGCGAGGCTCGGTCAGCGTGCCGGTGGTCAGGGGCGACGTCGCCTCGCCGACCACCAAGGAGACCGTCGCGGTGCGGTACAACCTGGAGGTGTTGCCGGTCGTCGAGGAGATGGCTCCGGGCGCGGACGTGGCTTACGTGTGCCCCGAGTGCGGACAGATGTTCAGTCTTCACGATCGCCTGGCGAAACACATGGCGTCCAGGCATCGCAGGCAAGGCCTTCACGACGCGTCCGCCAAGGCGTACCTCTGCGACGTCTGTCAGAGGAGCTTCGCCCGGTCGGACATGCTCACGAGGCACATGAGACTCCACACGGGTGTCAAGCCGTATACCTGCCGGGTCTGCCGGCAGGTGTTCAGCAGATCCGACCACCTCAGCACTCATCAGCGAACCCACACCGGCGAGAAACCGTACAAATGCCCGCAATGCGCCTACGCAGCCTGTCGCAGGGACATGATCACCAGGCATCTCAAGACTCACAATAGGTGCGCCGAGGGGCCCACTCCGAAGACCGAGCCCGGTCTGCTCGCCGGCGAGGAGTGCCCCGCCTTTGGCCAGAGCATGGCCGCGCCCTCGGCGGTCATCAAGGCCGAATGACGACGGCCGGCCGGATGACCCTGGCTCTACTTCAACTCGAGATCCCAGCGAGGACGTCGCGGTAAGGTCGATCGGCCTCGATCGAGCCATCGCGGTAACGCTGCGAGGGAACGAACCGGACGTTAGGAATTCGCTTCGCGTGGGACGGATCGGCGGACGGGGATTTCTCTCGCTGTCGAAATTCGTGGGATCCCTGGGGTAGTTAGTGGTGACTCCGAAACTCGGGAATATCGAGGGACGATGCGCGTAAGAATACGCGAATCCAGTTTCGCTCTTTCGCTGCGACGCGAACGCATGTGTTTTGCTGTCTTCCTTCTGAACAATTACACGTGTTCACTGAGCGTCGTCAACGTGTTTGGATATCTGTGCCTCACGATTGTCGATTATTGCCGTTGACGAGAAAATGACAATGTTACAAATATTTTCTTGCTTTACACGTGGAAAATTTATATTTTACGTTGTATACATATTTCCGAGTAGCTATTTCTGAATGCAAATATCTCGGAATAATATTTGAAACATCCTTGTCCTTCCTCGATTAATCGACAACCGTGATAGACGAATTATTCCTGACGTGATACACACGATTTCTAAACATTTCTGAAAGTCATCGGACTGACGCTTGGTGCGCACGTGTGTAAAATGATTGATATTCTGTTGCTTATGACGTGTTCCAACATCAAAACACCTAGTCGAACTAAGAGACTTCGATCTCAAAGCGGAACTCTTGCGTTTCGCGCTTTCGATTATCTCTCACATCCGTCAATTTGTTTTCCGTTCTCGCCAGCGAAAAAGTGAAATTTGCGATGTCGCATTCTTCGTGAAAAACGTGCGGACGCAAATGGAAAAAGTTGAACTCCCGTAAGTATTATATCGTATTATTTATGAAAAGAAAGAAGAAGAAAAAATAGAAACAATTGATTTCTCGTCCGACAATCCTCCAGATCTCCTAGGGATTATCTCTTCGTTATCGCCGACAAACAGCGAGCAGCGTTGAACAGTATTATTGTACTCCTTTGAGCCCCGTCACCGCTTGATTCCGCTTCCGCGACTCGCGTACTCTTATCAGCCGAGATTCGCAAACGAATTTATCATGACATTCGTATGTATCACGACCGGAGCGGTCGGTCGTAGAACGGTCCGGCAACAGCGTCGTTCTTCAAAAATACGCTCCGTCGTGACGTCCGACGAATATCGATTTCGACAAAAATCGAAAATTCAAATCATCAATTAACCGGCGAGTTTTCTCGCTGCCGTTCTATACTCTTTTCGCTCTCACTTGAACTTCTTTCCTTTCTCGTCGCTACTGGTTTACGCCTTGATACGTAGTAATGACGTATAGCACCGTCGACGGCTGTTCTCGGACATTCCACGACCGTTGTTGTTGCAAAAAGTATATACATATCGCCAGCTGGCTTCTCTTATCTTCCGTTCTCTCGTTCACGATGCATAAAGTTAAGGCACACAAGGCGAAAAAGTAAAGCATTCCGGCCGCGCGAAGGATACGTGGAAGCGGTGCTTACGGCTCGGCGCCGGAGCCGAATCGTGCTTTACCGCGCTCGCTACGACCTGTCCAGCGAACCTGTGTACATAATCGATCGTATCGCGCGTTATCTCCTCCCCGGGACTTCCCTTCGACGTTAACCGCGGAGAGAGAGAGAGCACCGGAACGTTGGCGACGCGAACACACGTGCCAAAACTTCGGACACGCGGTCTTCACGCGCGTGTTCACCCTCCGCCCCTTACCCTCCGGCGTCATCCGGCGAAATAATCCTAAATTCGCACATTGGGACCTCTCTGCTAGTGAACGCGGAGTATCCGTCGTGGATTTCTCCTCGTCTCTTCGCTGCTTTCCGCGCGGTTCGGAGGAACGCGCGCGTTCGATTCATCAAGCTCGCGGTTCTAATAGGATGTAAATAATAATCGGCGACACGTTTAAACGTTCTTATTTTACATATTTAAATACGCGTATATTTTGTATGTCGCGTGTATTTCGATCGAGTGTGTTTTGCATATACTTAATATGCGCGTGTTCCGCTAATAATGTTAAAACGAGAATAAAAGATCGTATTAACTTACGCGCGCCGAAGACACTGCGAGAGAGAGAGAGGGAGAGAGAAAGATCGCGCAAACGGGCCCCGTAGATCCCGGTGTGCGGTTTGCACGGTGTTGTGACTCTCAGAGAGAACAAATATCCTCCGTCAGTCGAGCCCAATTCGCGTTACGGAGAAACATTATTGGCGACGTGCGCGAATGTGATATAGCGACTTCGCCCTGGTGAAACACGGCGGCAGGCGAGACATTGATTATTCAGGACCAAGTGGAGCGACGCGAGGGATCGCTCCTCTCGTCGAGCTTATTTACCGCCAATAGTTTTCTCAACGTGTCCATATCAGTAAGTAGCGAGTCGCCATTGGTAGCCTCGTCGATTCGCCCGAAACCTCTGCTCAAGTTGTTGTTACTTGAAAGTAAAAAAAAAAAAGAAAGAATTGTTGAGACGACTCTTTCCCTGAAGAGGAGAGTCGAAAGAACCTTCGCGAAGCGGCGATGTATTAATAGTTTTGTAAATGTGATCGCTCTCGGTCATCCCGTCGCGGCTTCCCCGTCAGTACGGAATCGGGAAAGTCGACCGATCGCGACGATGAACGGACGGAGGGTGATAAACGGAAAATAAGAAAGAGGAAACATAACCGTACCTGCAGTGAAAGAGAGAGAGAGAGAGAGAGAGAGAGGGAGAGAAAGAAAAAAAAAAAAAGAAGGTAACTCGACGTTAAAGCATAATAAAGCGTATAGAGGTAACGTTAATTAGTGAGTAACATTATTGATACTATTATTGCGTTTTCTATTATTGTAACTATTATGATTGTAATTATTCGCGCCGCACGCCGTAGGGGAGAGAAGATAAAATGATATTTTTTTATACACACACGCGCACTCATAGAGAGCAACTTTATAAAAGGCATCGATCGATTCGCCAAGCTCGATTGAAAAAATTGCGACGTCTCGCCCCCGAAATTGATGCTAATTAATCGGTGCCGATTCGTTATCGAGAAACGAATGTCGAAGTGACGACTCGGTGTCGCTCTCACTCACGGGAGAGTGTCTCGGGAGAGACACCGCGATCGCGCGAGCGATACGATATCTTTGGGTCCTTCAGCGTTTTCCTGTGGGAAACGAGTAGAGTAAGCGAGCGGCGGCGGCCGTTGCGGCGCGATTAATCGGAACTGGTTGTGGTGCTTAAGCGAAGAAGGGCGAATTCGACGGGTATCTTTGCGCTGTGAATCGACGAAGACAATCCTTAAAGTATACTCCGTTCGTGATCTCCGCGCGGATAAAGTCGTCGGGCCGAGCGAACGAACGAACGAACGGCGAATCCGAGCACACGCTAAACGTCGCTCTAGCGTCGCCGAGCACGCGAAATGTACGTTGCGACGCGTTAATGGCATAATTTACCAATGCTCCCTGCGCTATCCCCGTCGTGAGTGTCGGTGGCAGAAGAAGGAGGTAAATAAGGGCTGGCTGAAGATTCGAGAGATGATAAGACCGCCGATGGTAAATAACGATAAGCATCGGGAATTGGTGGAGCACGGCTCGGCGTAGGGAGAGCGTGTTGTAGCTGAAAGGTGCTCGCGTCACGACGCAACCGTACTCTCCTCTTGTTTTGTAATATTTATATTAGTACAAATAATGGGAAATATATATTCTCTGTCTTTCTTTCTCTCTCTCTCTCTCTTACTTCCCTTCTATCTGTTTCTCCGTCTCATCGAGTCGACGGCACGTTATCGTCGCGCCACCAAGTTCCCGTTCGCTCGGCCCCGGCGAACAAGTTCGTCTCGTTTCGGAAACGTCAATTCCACGATAGTTTTACGATAGTCATATGGTGACTCGCTGAACAGCACGCGCCGACATGGTACTCGAGCTTATTCAGCCTCGACCGTTTCGTCCTTAATTCTCCTTACCCTATACTCGCATATGTACTGGTTCCCGCCCACCCCTCCCTCCCTCCCATGAGATGTCTCCTATTGCTCCTCGCCCGGAAAAAGAAGGTCGCGACGAGTTATCAGCGCGCTGACATCCTCGCGACCTGCGCAACATGCGCGCACATAGGTATGTATATCTGTATTTTTGTATATCGAGGTTTTTTCTAATTACCTACCGATTATAAGCGTTTCCAGAGGAATGGGACGAGTAAGTAGCTATTAAGGAGAAAGTATTGTCGCTCTCTGCTTGCCATTTCACTTGCCCCCTCGATCGAACGGTTGCTTCGAAAGCGGTATGTCGATACGGTGCGACGCACGAGGGAGGATCGTCGAATCAGAGAGAGAACATCGTTTCGTCCTGCACTCGGTCGTGATCGTGGATGTAGATCATGATCGACGCGTGGCAACGCGATTGGCTGTCGTGCTACGAGCATCTTTCGGTGATTTTTTACTAATCGCTCGATGCCCCCGTGAAGAACAAATTAGTGGGATATTTAATAATCGTAATTAGCGCAGAGGTCGCGGATATATGTACCTGAAATCTCTCGCACAGATCACAATTCAATATTTTAGATGGAGATTTTTTTCGCTCTCGCGACGCACGTGTCGTAGATTTATAAATTATCTTATTCATTCGTCGTACGCTTTGAGGAAGCTGAAAAATTGTTCGCTCGCGTCCAAAAGCGTTGCTTTATCGTCAATTTATTCTTCGTTAATTTTTCAATAGTCGTTGCTGATTTTTTTTTTTTTGAATGCAAGGGAAAAGTAATAATTCCAAGGCATGCAATTAATACTCATAGGTTAATAATATGAATTCATTTATTTGTTTAGAATGGAAATTGAATCGCTCAACTATACGCATATTCCAGGCTCGCGGGCGGAAAGTATCGAGTCGTGTATTTGAGTCGTGCTATTAATTCAAGTGCCATGCAGCGTTCGACGCGTCGATCATCTCGCGGACGCGTCCCTTTTTTGTTCTCTTTTTTATTTTATTTTTTTGCGTGGTTACAAGAGCGAGAGTATCGGGACCTCTGACTTGGCGTTATCCCTCGCACCGGATTCAGCCTTAAACTGACAGAATCTCTTGCGTAATAAGTCCGTAGTAACTTAAGGTAAGGAAAAGATGTGGGGAAAGAACGAAGACGTTCGATGTGTCTTCGGGCAGTTAAGCGATCGCCGTGCCAGACAACCTGTTCTTGTAATTATTAACAAGTAGCCATTTGTACGACTATTATTATTTCTATTATTATTATTATTAATATTATTAATTATTTTATTATATTATTATTAATAATATTATTATTATCTCTCTAGAGTTACGTTGTTAAGTAATTAATCATGTTTAATGCTTCTATTATTTATTTTGTTATCCCGTTCATGAGTCAAGCTTTCTACTTTCTCCTCGTCCGTTCTTTCCTCCCTTCCTCCCCCCGTTCTGTCCAACTCTCCGCCTTATCCATTCATCCTAGCTGTTCCATCCCGGAACCGGGAGAGAGAGAGAAAGAAAGAGAGAGGGAGGAGGTAATTTTACACGTAGATCGAATGCATTCACGGATAGAGCTCGCCGTAACGCGATGCTCGCGATGTCCGCACATCATTTGCGCATCTTTGACTCGAACGAAACCGAGAACAACTACTTCGAATCTCAAGCTCATCTCTCCTTCCTCCGTCCTACATGGCACAGAAAAAGCTTGTCTCCGAAGAGATTTTGATCTCGCGACTCCCGAACGAAAGCATCTTTTGTAACGATAAATAAAACACGAGAGAATTTGTGTAAATTATTGATGGTGGTGATAATGATGGTCACGATGATAATGATGATGATAATGATGATTGTGTACGTTAATTTATAAATTATGTTGTGTTTACGATTCGTGCCAGAATGGAAAAAATATAATTTTTCAACGAATCACTTCTGTATTTTGTCATTTTTTATCCCTGGAATTCCCGTTATATTTTGTTATCTATTCAGATTTCCTTTTTTCCCCCTTATTTTCTAATGCGATTTGTCTTTGAGTAAAAACTATCGGGGGTAACTGTGACGTAGGACTTGTATCGATTGAAGAATATTTCAGCGATCAATAGTACAATTAAAGAAGACTTTTGAATTGCTTTATACTTGTTGCCCGAGAACTTCGATTACTCTGTTAAAATCGCGTACAATTTTCACGTTAATTATATCGGAAAGTACGTGGTGCCTTGCAACGTCGAGAGAGTTCGTGTATCTGAGATAAATAGGTGGTAAATTAGCACGAAGATGCGAACGTATCATTTTAAGGCTGAAACACAGAGATAGTTAACGTAGGAGCGGGATCCGAGCGAATTATTTTTTCAAGCGCGATGTGATTTTCGGGTGAAACTTAGAACTTTCCGATCGATACGTAATTAAGAGGAAACCGTAATCTATCTATCTGTACACACCAACAGTTAGTGTTGTGCGAGACAATCGTGATAATTATCTGAACGAAGATACTCAGTATCGAGTATAATGAGTATAAATGTAGTCAAACCGTCGAGCGCTATTGCTACTCCGTTTATCTCATGCAGGACAACATGTAAAAAGCGTTTACCTACTTAGCAACCGCTATTCCCGTCGATATCGCTGAAGGAAAAACTGATCAAAGAAATTCTCGGATAATACTCGATTGTGTTTATTTAACATAAAATGCACAACACTCGTGATTCTGAATACGATATTGTAAATATTCCGAGGCCTTTAATAACAAGGGCGTATGGATTTCTTTTCTCACCGTGTCATCTTTGTATCCTTTTCTACAAATTTATAATCCACGTGTCTGTACATCGAAATGAGAACAAGAATCTGTATGTTGCTGCACATTTACGATGGAAATATATATATACACGTTACTTGTTTCTTACTAAAAAAACCTCTACGTTTCTTTGACGTGCGGTCGTTTCGATCCTTTCGTGACGGAACTTCACTGCTCTTAAATCCCCATCAGAAAGCGATAACTATAAAACCAGGTTGTTTCCCGTATATTTTAAGCACGATAGAATCGTTAAATTATTTAATGAATCGTTACTGGAATAGTATTATGGACGACGCGTGTTATGCATGTTTGCATTTTCGACGGATTCGATTTATTGACAGGCAGAGATCACCAAGAAGCTTCGATGATACAGGCTGATTATATACGAAGCGCTCGAACGAGCATGAAAAAGGAAATAGATCGGAAACAACATTGATAACCCGACTCGACCCAAGTGTTTCATAAATTCGCAAATAGTTGATACTTCTTCCGCATCAATAAACACCGACGCAATGAAACGACAGGTCAATGTCGTATATTTTCTCATACTTGAGATTTCCATTGCGATCCATTCATATTTATCGAAGCCGCGTTTGCGCGACTATTCACCGAATTCGCTCGCGTTATACGATTTAACTCTCTATAACATGTGATGCAACTTTTTGAAATTACATATCAATATATACACATTTTTTAAGCCAGGTCTTATTTATTTATCAATGTGTGTCATGTGTGTTTAACTCAAACTTAGAATGGATTCTTAACGCATATGAATCAATTTTGTTGAATTACTCCAATTCGAGTGACTCGTTCTACTTTCCGAATTTCACCAGAACAAAAGGTAGAGAGTATATCATAGCAATCGCTCTGTGGACTTTGTAATTAATGTACGATGATATGAATTGTCGCGTAATGGATGCATCACGCGAAGAAACTCGACACAAGCGATCGAGTCGGGAATCGCGTTAAAGCCTTATCGGGGAAACGTACATTTCGATATCCGGCTGGATGTTTACGTCGCGCGCGAATGGAATTTCGGCTGCACACCTCATTATTATACAGCGCATTATACGCTCGCACGGACGCACATCGCGAGTCGTATCCTTTCCAGCGCGATCAATATCCCGGATAAGCGGTAATGGAATAATTGACGTTTCGTGTAAGGGATATTCCGAGTGAATCGAGTTACCTTTGCGGTATCTTCATAACAATATCAGCTGGGGCGGTTTTTTGACCGAACACGCCGTAATGGTCTTCGGTCGCGACGGCAATGCGAAAAAGCTTCATAATTAGATTAATTAAGCCGCTATCGGGTTCTTGAATGGTCGGGCGACCGCGCCAGAATTCCGAGCGTTCTTCTCTATTCGAACGCGAGTATCCGCCGAAATAACTCGGTCCATTTGCCGCGCGCCCTCCAAAACTAATTAATACAGGATACTACCGAGGGCTTAACGGCCCGATGTTTTTATACGGTGTTGTTACCTGCGTTTCGCTTCTACCTCGCGCACGTTGCGTTGGTCGGATTATTTCTGCAGTATTGTTCCCGCGAATTGTACATACGATATCGAGATTTTATTAATTAAATCTCTCGAGTTGAGTGGTGCAATTTTTTAAACTATGAAGTGTGTTTCCTCTAAAATTTGAAATACAGTAGTGCACGTCGAGGAAAGGTGGAGTACAATTTTTTCTCACGCTCTATTTTAAACGGTACGGAAAGCTTAAGCAATTAATAATTCTTATATTTATCCGCTTTCATTTCATTCTTGGGCGTCACACGAGGGTAATTATCGCCGTCCCGCTATCTTTGCGCGAGAACGTGATGATGCTATGATACTCTGAAGAAGTACCGCACAGCCTTGAAAAAGTGTCGAGGAGGCAAATCGTGCTTCTCTCGCCCATTCTACTTCGTTATAGCTCCACTTCGCATGCACGTCGGACAGCGAGCGGTCTTATTTTTCGTTCCGTTTATCATACGCGTTGGATTGAGTAGCACACACATTCGATATACCGTCTTCGGTTTTATTTATAAAAACATATTTAAACATTTAAGACGCAGGAGATATTTTTTATTTTTGTACCGAGTTTCTTCAAAGAAGTCGAGGCAACGTCTACTCGACCTTTGGACTGGCCTTCGTGGCGAGTTCGGAGCGAAGAAAAATTAGAAAAATATCGAACGGTAACAGCCTCGCAGCGATTTATGGATTTCCTCCTGCTGTCGTCGCAACACGTCGGCGCTACCGGCTTTCCTTTCCACGAATGCGACGCAGTTCTTGCGTTCCGTTTTTCTCGCCGATGTGCGTCGATGTACTACGACACACATCACGGTAATGTCTCGCACTAAGTATTTGCGCAAAACGGGCCGCGAGGCTTTTGAGTTTCGATTTTTGAAACTTAAAAAAGTCCCGAAATGGATTAAAATATTTAATATATATTTAAGATATTTAATATATATCTAAGAATATTTACATTGCTTGTGTGCAAAATTTAGTTTTTAACACGTTATTTTTTCCCTGTTAGAAAAAACCATATAGAATCCCATAGTTGCCCTTAGGGATTTGGGCTAAAAATCTAGATCCTAGTAATAATCCAACTTAAATGTACTTATACTACTAATTAATTTGTGCTTGGCATAGAGGGTCGGTAATCGACCTACGAGTATATTCATAATTGGCTTGTGAAACTCATATACCAACTACGAATATACTCGTAGGTGGCAGCGAATGTATTAATTTACCTTTTTTAAGTAAATTTACTTCAAGTTGATGCAACATTGTAATATTTGTTATTTTTTCAAGAATTATTGATACTAAGCGTAGCTATTATTATTTCTGCTTGTCCTAACTTTCTGATATTATTTGTTTTATAGAAAATACAAATTTAAAGAATGATATTTTATTTTAATGTTTTAATATAAATTAATAATATAATATAAAATAAAATAATAATTTGATATAAATGATCGCAGGTACGATGGCCGAGCAAAATCATGCGCGTGAGACGCGGACGCTGGCAAGAAAAAGAAAAATTCTCAACTCATTAGAAATTGCAAGCGCCACGCAGCGCCTCATCGATCGGTGATCTTCAACGAAGCTCCGTTTTTCCATCACGCTCGCGGCTTCACTTCCTCCCGGGTCCTCTTTTTGTTCCTCTTCCTCCGTCAATCGCGCGCGCTCCAGCCGATCGTACTTGTCACCGCTCCTCGTTCCACCCACGCTGCCGCCATGCTCGGCTTTCTACGGCCGGGACCGGTCCCGCTTTTTTGCCGCGACTGCCTCCCTCGCCTCCCGCATCCGCGGAGGCCTCATGCCGCCCCCTTTCTGATCTATTTGTTCGTGTTCGCCGTCCGTCCTCGTCTCGGCCCGTTCGCCGGTGTTTCTCTCTCTCTCTCTCTCTCGGTCTTACGAGCCACTTGCCTGTCTCATGGAAAAATATCGATCGGCCGCCAAGATATTGCCGGGACTGAAATGAGTTGTCGTCGTCGTCGTCATCGTCGTGGTGCGAATCGGCACCGTCATTCGATCGTTATACTAGGTAATAACGATCGCTTTACCCGATCCGCTCCAACTCGTCATTAACGGGCCGGAAACAATTTCATCGGCGTCTCATTTGTTCAGATTTACCACAGCAGAATATCCTCTATCTATCTATTTATCTTTTTCTTTCTAATTCTAAATCTTTAATCTAAATCTTTTCCAAGATGATATAATGAGACACGTCTTATCTCACGTGAAATTCAATTTAGTTCGATAAAAAGAAAAAGTCAGATTGAGGAAGAAGGAAACGCTAGGCGCTAATGTAAACACTTTTCTCTGAATTTCTCACACCTGTCTTGTCACAGATTCTTTCATCCTGTCACTTTAATCGGTTTAATCATTTGTAAGATCCAGCCGCGTATTTTACCTCGAAGGCAGAAATGAGCGATGTTAGGGGTCGCGTTAGGAGATTCAGCGCTGACGCGATAAATCGCTCGTGACAAACCGCGGATGATGCGCACGACGCCGCCGCGGAAAGCTTCTGCCGCAGATAACGGCGGATGGCCGGTGTTATATCGCACGGCTGGACGATGGATTACCTAACGTGATCGCGACCGAGTACGGACGTCATCGAGACGCGAGAGATGCTAATTTCCTGCACCGAGCGT